AGCCCGCGTTGTCATGCATCCACGTTGGCGATTATGTCTACCATAATCCGTAAAAAGGAACAACAATCGACTCTGCCTACGATAGAAGAATCGTCGCCCGTCAGACCGCGCATAAACATACCCAAGCTCGAACAAAAACCAGATCTCAAATTGGACGTGGACGAGGAGATAAAAGAGATAGCGAAGACAATCGACGAGATGTTGTGCGCGAAAGGTATGACCGAGTTGGACGACTCGTTTGAGCCCGATGTGGACTTGGCGCAAGCCGACGGTTTTTGTGAAACGAACTTATCAAAGGGTGCACCGCCGAATCTACTGGAATTGCTCGACAACTGTCAAGATATTACCAACTGTCTGGAAAATAATTCATCGTGCGCTAGTTCAGAATGTGGTGAGGCAAACGTGGACATTCCGTTGAAACGACGGAAACGAAGAAAAAATCGGACCGGTTGGCCAGTCGGTAATAAGATGAAAAAGAAAATACAACCAAACAACAAAATATTGGCGGATTGCGACCAGGAATCGTTGGCGGAGAAGAAGCTCCATCCTGACGGCGATTTTGCTAGACGTCACACGTTGAACACCGAGAGGATAGATTCTCTCGCGGTAACAACGTCGACGAACAATGTGTTACCGATGATTGCAGAACGATTAGGTGTCGGTCAGAAAAACGATGACGACGCTTCGCTAGAAACCTGCATTACGTCTCAAAAATCGTATCACGAGACGCTCGCGAAAAAGGACAAAAACATAGAAGCTGTCAGCAGTGACAACACGGGCCTATCAGCGAGTGTAGACAGCTACAAGGAGTCCGTCTCGGAAAACGCGTGTGACGATGGGACGAATAAGACTCATCTATCGAACAAAGATTATCCATGTAGAAAAGATTTGTCGGAAATTAAAGAGGTCTCGGAGAACGATTCAGGCAACGATGAGAATCACGAGAACCAGAAGACTTTATTAAGCAGAAAGGATGTCAATACGATCACCGAGAACTTGGTCGCGAAATCGTCGCCTATCAAAAAGCAACGACAACGCGAGCACGTCACCGTTACTAGTGCCGATAGCTGCGAATTACGGGACACGGAGATCGAGAATCAGGACAATCTGCAGTTACAGTGTAGAAAAGAGGAGACCGGTATAGTTCCTAAGAAACACCACAATTCTAATTCCGAGTTGTCGCCGAAGCGGCAGCTGCGCGGCGGCAACTGTGAGGAGAACTCGTCCGACACGGGGGAATTGTTGAAACGTCGTCACGGTATCGTATTCGCCACGACGAGGCGCGGTCGGATAGGCTCGCGGAAGCGAATTTACTCGAGAAAACGTCAATCGAGAACGACCGTCACCCGCAACAATGCCAATCTGTCGTCCGATCGCGTCGGGATGATATACGAAGACGAAAATTGTAAAAAGGATGCCTACTTGAGTATTACGTCGTGTAACAAGAAACAGCCACCAAGCTCCGGGGTGCGCGGCAGCGTAAAGCGTAAAAGTGAAGCCATTTCATCGTCAGATAACATCCAGGAGTCGTCCAATCCGTCGATAGATCAATGCGCCTTGTCGGAGCGCATCAGTCCGTCGATAATATCGTCCAGCGAGCTTGAGCAGCGCCGTTCTAGCATCGAGTTTCAACCAGTTGTACGAATGATGAAGATCGACGATCAAATAGACATAGATCACGGTATACTGTCGACGGTGACGGTGGCAAGCAATAGACGGTTGAGAAGTTCTGTCGGCTCGCGATCGAACCCCAAGCCACCGAAGAAGCGTGTTAAGTCCGGCCGTGGGCACTTTGGGCGGTGGTTGAAGAACAGCTGAAGACCTGGAGAATGAAGACGAAGAAGAAAGAGGCTGTACTTCGGCTTAGATTTCAACGGTGGTCGGTTATCGATCTCACGATCCAATATCTCGTTCCACCGATGTATACATTGTATATAAAAATATTATTTGTGTACGTAGAATAGTATTTAACATGCATCATAGTATTATATATATATATGTATACATATATATATATATATTCTCTCTCTTTAGTGATACCATTCTACTTAGTGACGTTCTTTCAGGTGGTTAGTTTTAACACTCCCCACCCGCGGTATATCCTACTGTGTACATACTTTAGATGCGGTCATTGTGTTCTCAGAGACAGAACAGTTACATCTTTTTTACTAGTACCATGTCGTTCCTTATTTTCTATTTCTTTTTTTTTCTCGTGCAAACGAAAATTGTGAACCACTTTGATTGATGACAGTCGTTTCATTCAGATCATGATTAAGAATTATTTTTATTTAGAATATGTTATATTTTAGAGTGCGCAAGACTGCATACAGCTTTATAACATTGTAATCACAGATGTACACATACACACACACCCACACGTACACATATACACAGACACGCACACATACGTTTCCGTTATATTGTGTATATTATTAAAGATAATCTATATTTTCAATTCTCCAGTATATCCAAATACATTATTTCAAGCAGAATTGCTGTAAGCCGCTCATGAGTTCAGAAAGAGAAATTATTATTAAAGATATACAAATTTTCCATTAAAAATCATTTCATTGCACCTTTTTTGATTCCATATCTCCCTGAGAGAGAGAGAGAGAGAGAGAGAGGGGGGGGGGGGGGAGAGTACAAATTAAATCGTACAAGTCCATAACTGACTGACCAACAAGTTCAATAGACTGATTTAATTTCAAGTTTAGTGTCCTTTATCTTAGTTATAGTTTAGGCGATTAATCTAATCAGATAATAATAAAGATTATATAGCACAATTAGCTTAATTATAGTTTAAAAATAAAATGGAGCTTTTGTATTTTTGAAAACAAAGTTTAGGTAACTCATAAATTTATTTACCTGATAGATTCAATTAATTACAGTTAACATTTATAAGTTGGCTCTCTTTAGTGCGTTGGAAGTTATCTCTTCTTCATAATTTTATTTATCCCTAAATCAATTTACATTCTAGAAATGTACATAGAACAACCTCATGTCACGTCAAGCCTTCACGTTCGCGGAACGCTTTCTTCATTTCGTTCAGCTTTTTTTTCTTATATTCATTTCGCGCCTGTTGTTTTTTCTCAAGAGCATGTATCTGGGCTTCGATAGAGCATTCCTTGTTTAATAAGTTGTCGAGCTTTGTCACCAAGATTTCACGCGCGCGTTTTTTGTTGTCCCACTGGCTCCTTGTCTCGTGGCACTTGACGACGAGCCCCGTGGGCTTGTGCTTCAACAGGACCGCATTGTTCGTCTTGTTCGTCGCTTGGCCACCTGGACCACTACCTCGGATGAACTGCTCCTCCAGATCGGCTTCGTCCAGCTTAGGAACGTTCGAGTAATCGAGATAACGCTTAAATGACTTGTTGCAGACTTGTATGCTTTTGGAATTAATCACGATGCTTAACAAGAATTCGTTGTGGCTGACCAACGAAAAAATGCTATTGGGAACTTTTAGACAAGTCAATACAGACTTAATCAACATCTTCTGTTGTTTTCATAAAATGTCTCTCGTTGTAGTAAATCCAGTGATGATTTATACCACTTTCTTAGCTTCCAAGAATTTCATACCTTTCTGTGAAAGGAGAAATAAAGAGATAAATTAGTTCTGAATTATCAACAGAAAGCTTCTACTACATAACATCACAAAAATTTAAACATTGGAAAAAAATTTTTATTTTTATTTAAAAAATTATACATAGTGTAAAAATATATCTTTAATACATAAATAAAAATGAGGCAAGTTTATTTTAAAAACGAAAATTATATATATACATGAACGTAACAAATCAATCTCATTCTAATACACTGAATACAATTTCATAAATGTTGAAACTTTTTTCTCTAGATTAAAATATATTGCTTTCAATTCTGTTCCAGGATTATTAACGTAAATACTTAAAAGAAATATTGCAACAGCGATTTATAGGTTAGAAACAATGAGGTTATAAACGATATATTACTCATGCCTCAATACACATCGTGATTACCTCCAATTGGAAGTTTATCGCCGTCTCGTCAGACAGATCTTTATTAGTTTTGAAAGCAGTCCGGATTCTGTATCGAAAGTACTTCTTGTTCGTGAATCTTAAAGTTTCGCCATACTTCAGAATGTCCTTGTATAGTTTCAGAACAACTTGTCGGCTCATTGTGACTTATTAGAATTAACTGAATGTATGTACGATGTATACAAGATATATAACTATATTTTGATATATCATGACATTAAAAATTATATATACCGCTCTTAACATACGTATTAAAAAGGATCCTTTTTGGTATGTTCTATACATGTGTGAGACATGCGCTGTGAATGCTGTGATGGCCGGCCAGGCCGGCTTTTCTTTTTGTAATAGATCAGCTGACGGAAGCATTGCGCACTTATTACATATGTATACAAGACGTGAAAACTCCATTAGCTTTACTTTACCAACAGATTATATATTTAATAATATTAAGATAATTGCTCCTTTTCATGGAGAAATTTAAGGATCGTTTTTTGTTTCGCATAATTATTTTATATTCGATTTATTATATACTCATGGATTATAAATTTAAAAAATAATCTTATATAAAAACTGAATCTATTAAAAACAGATTTTGCAAATGTAACTACAAATTTTGTCAGCAAAATGACAATAGGATATATTCCATTTTCAAATAGTTATGAAATAACAGATTTTATCTGATTTTAGTTTCTACTGTTAATCTTCTGTCACATTATGTTAAGTTTTACTGGTAAAACATACTTAATGCAGACACAACAGTTGATGTCTACCACAAATATTCTACTAATTTGCTCACTGCAAATCAAACTGATATATTTTTTGGCTAATGTAGATATGTTCATATTTAAATGCATTTCAAAAAAATATCTGCTCCTTTCTATCATTCAGTGAAAAAAATGGGAGATAATTTAAAAAAATCACAATATTATATTTTCCAAAATTAGCAATTTATAGTATAAAATCTCTCAAATTTAAAGTAAAGTTTCTTATATGATTTCTTTTTATGCGTTTCTCGGATTTGACCAAGCAACGTCAATTAACGTTAGAATTCGTGGAATTCTAACTCGAAAAGCTTCTGTATGACGTCATCTATTTGCAGCTCCTTTGCTATTTCTATTATCAATTCATCTACGAGCTTATCAGATATCCTGCAATAATATCATTTGTTGTAAACACATTTAGAAAATAAAATTTTCAAAGTAGCAGTGTTATTATTTACCAAGCGACAATGTCCCATGGTTTATTTTGTGTATTGCTAGAGTACATTGGAATCGATTGCATCAATCGCTGATATTCGCATCTATATTTTAAAAAATTCATCTCAGTTTCCTCGGAAACAGCAAGCTCAATATTATTCTGCGAGTCTATCATAAATTTTCCTTCCTTTACCTATTATATAATATTAATCATCACACAATTTTACATTTGATTCTCAAGATACGTCTAACTATTTTTCATTGTGTTTATTACTTACCTTTGCTTCAAAATCCGGCAATTCCGTTAAGCTCTCGTAATCCGCTTGGCATGACGCATCGCAATAACGAGGTGTTTTTGATGCATCTTCTATCGATGACACGTAAATCAATTGCATATTTTCGCCGTTTTTCCGCCTTTCGATTAAAGTTCTTTAAAAACAAAATATTAAATTGAGTCTAATTTTTTTAGCTATCAAATAATGTACGTAAAAAATAAGAAAAAGTATTATATATTTATAAAATACGTGTATATTCATACCTGTTTGTTTTAACACATTCACATTCACTGCTGCCTGAATAACATATGTCACAGTTTGTGCTCGCATTGATTTTTGCGTTCATGCCTTTAGGCAATTGATATTTTTGTAGAAATTTCATTAGTGTATTCGTCATAGTTTCAGAATAAGCTGGCCTTGCCTCTGATTCATTTTGCTACATATAAATTTTTAACGTTTACAATAGTTTGCAACCAAGGTAATTAAATAATCTCATTTTTTTTAAATATCTTAGAAGAGATAATTTATGTAACATCGCTGCAGTTCACCTTATTAGAAATAAAAGACATGAAGTCTGCTATAACAGGCACCAAGTTAGATAAATGTTCCTCTGTAATCATCGGCTCTCTTTTCATGGATTCATCATCGTTATTTGTAGATGTGTTCTTAACAATATTTTCTATCGTTTCTAATTGTTTTTTATTCTGCGACTTGCTAGAATATTTTCTTGGCGTTTTATATATTCTTCTTGTGAGCATCGTATTATTATGACTTTCATGCGTTTCAAAGTTACTGCCCTACAAAATAGACAATAATAAATGTCTTAAAACAACATATTTGAACATTAATGTTACAATAAATCTGTCTCGTATTTGTTGTGCGTGTAAATAGTAAATTGTTTACATCTGAATCTATGGGTAATATATCCATCATAGTTTTTATATCCTCCTCTTTTGCAAATGTTCTACGTTTTCTAAGGTCTATTTGATTTGCATCTTTAGAAGGTGTTACAGGACTAGGATACGGCTGATCTAATATTGGCTCGTTAGAGATTCTTTTGACATCTATTGTATTATATTTCTTATCTTTTTGATGATAATCTAAAAGATAATGCATACAGCTTACAAGTTAAAATAACATGCGCAAATATATATTTAACTTATTAATATATAAAATAATTTTACATACTTGTTTTGGGTTTAGAAATATTTTTGAAAATTTTGGTATCCGCGCTGTACATACTCAACCGATTAGATAATTGTTTGTGATTGAGTCGTTTTTTATTCGTTGAATGTGGAGTGATGGACGCTATTGACGAAGTTTTATTAGTATCTAAAAAATCATTATCTGCATGCAGCTTGAATTTTGATAAAACAGTATTGCACTTGCTTTCAATTTCCTTCCCCTGCAATTAAAGACAGAATTTATATGCAAATTTGAATGTAATGAAAACTTTTTTCGTTTTTGTAAAATGCAAAAGATGCAATATTGCAATCAATCATCAGTTATCAAAAATTCATATTAATAAACAACATTACCAACGACAAAACATCAGTGTCCCCCGAATCGAAATAGTTTAAGTGGAGTCTATCACACATAGTCTTCAGATTGAGAACCACTTGCAGTATCTCTCTAAGCTTTCCAGGATGTCCTTTGGGAATAGAACTGGGAACGTGTTTGCAATAGGCGACCAATGCGTGCAGCAATAATTGATGAGCAGCAAGAAGTTTATGCTCAATGGCGTGCATGTGAAGTCCCAGATTTCTGTGATTCGGCTTTATTATCGCGCGTGGTGAAATAACGGACATATGCCTTTGGATATCCTTGACGTATCTATTGAGATCGTATAGATAGTTCCTCGAGAATCGAACAATAAATTCGGCGACGCACTGCTGCCGCCTCTGTAGGTCCTTAATCCCATCCGGCGCCGAGATGTTTCCCAGTCTGAACGTTATTTCGTCCAGTAAATCACAGACTTTCCTTTGCATCGTCAAGATTTTGTGCATGGTGAACGGATCCGGCCGTACATAAATGACTCCATCTGCAATGCCGTTGTGGTGTGCGCTGCTTTCAGGACTGGAATTGTATTCGGTGCCGTTAGTCGCATGATGCAGCTGCCTCGAAGATTGCTTCTTTCGCGGTATTACATGACCAGAGCGAGACTTTCTAGCGTACGACTTGAAATCCTCAAACCCGTGCCTCCTCTCATAAGCATTATCTTCTTCAGGAATTGTAAGCAACAAATTGGTGCTACCTGTCCCTGTGTCTTTCATAATCGGCGCTTTCTTCGAAGTCGAGTCCCTGATATTATTTACCTATTATTATGTGAGCTTTAGCAATCTAATCAATCAGTCTTCTCGTAGTATTAGTTTCATAGAAAATTCATTTACCTTTGGCTTTTTCTTCTGATTGTTTCCAGTTTTATCATATTCTTTTCTTACTTCATCAGGCAAAATATTTGTCTCTAATTTTTTAAGTTCTTTATCCGCCTCCCTCATACCTTCGTCCAACAGCTGTTTGATGCTTTGAACAGATGACTGGATGCCATTTTTGTTGTAACCATTCAGCTCTTGTTGTCTGACGAACGATGTCCACACGCTTTCCTCTTGCTCCCGACATCTCTGTCTGCGTACGTCTTTTATTATGTACTTGAAATGATTTGTAGGCACGTACTTTAACAAACAGAGAAGAACAGGTTAATTTTTTATTTCGTTTATCAGTGGTAAAATTAAAATTTATGAAATGAATCCCAAATATAGTGAAATCTGTTGAAATTGTTACAAATTTTGTTGGTAAAATATCAATAGAAAAATAATAGAATATGATGGCAGATTAACTGCAAAAACTGAACAGAATCAGCTATCATAATCATTCTATAATAATTTATAATATATAGATATGTATATTATTATGAAGTGACAGATTTTCTATTTGATTTTTGTTAGCAATCTATAGAATCTGTCAAATTACATCAGCACTTTCTATAGAACTAAGTTTCTATAGTAGATTTGAGTTTAATGGGGACAATATCAATCTGTCATAATTTTCCATTTGAATCTATAAACAAATTATTAGTGTATACTCTAAAAAATATATGGATTTAACCTACCTGTAGTGTTAATATAATTCTCATTTATTAATATAAACATCCAACTTTTAGAATGTCCCAGAAACACCGACTAACACCAATATTATAATTTCATACTCAACAATATAAATATAACATAACATATGTTGTACATAACAGTCGTACTGTTAAATGTGAAATTATAACGTTGATGTTATGTTATTGTAAGTTGGTGTTATATTAATTGTTGTGAGTGATAATTGGCCTTCTTTTTGGCTATTTTCCAGGAAAAGAAAGAGGAGGAAAGAAGAGGAAGAAAGATAACTGGTGCAAAAGTTCAGCCAAAAAGAATAGGCCTCATGATTTCGCAATCACTTGCACTATACTGGATTAGTGCATATTAACAGCTGCTTTATATAACATAAAATGAAACGCAGTGACATAATCAACTTTGACAATAAAATAATATATATATATATTCTATTAAACAACATGACTGTTATTATTGTATGATATTTAATTGTTCAAAATATTTTTATGCTTCTATATTTAACTTTGCTAATTTCATGTATAGCAATTTTTAGTATGCACTAATCTAGTGTATAATGCAAGTGACTGAATTCAATATGAAATTATAACATTGATGTTATATCATTGTCGATGTTTAATGGATTACCGCTCACATTTTGCTTACTGGGGGTAATATAAATGCGAAAAGGGCGTTACATGTTACCCCAAGATTCCGCAGAATCTACCTTAAAGTTATAATCATCGTTCTCATTTCCAGAAAAGTACGAATCTTCCGTCTCGTCGTCATTCGGATGAACGGGTTCCACGGGATTCAAGAGGAATGACATCCTGTCCCTTGGTTATGTCCGGTACTCCGAGGAGTCCGCGTTCATTCGCGTCTCCTCGGACGTGCCATAAACGATGGATATAAAAGGGGGGAAATACGATCTTAAAAAACGGGACGTCGTGGTACGACTCCTTGCATGGGAACGCGGAGGACCTGGGAATGCGAGTTCCTTGTCCGGTTCGTACAGGCTGAAATTGGCGCGACACGAACAAATCGATGTCCCTCCTTTGTCGGATTCTCAGAGCGGGTTCAAGGTCGTTCCAACGATACTCGATCGATATCCCCCGCGATGAAACGTAAACGAAATCCGAATCGAGGAAGAGAATCGCTATATATATATATATATATATATCGATCGCAGATCGACATCAGATATGGAGCGTTTTTCGTTCAATTCAAAACTTTTTCCCGATTAATCTGTCCAGGGAAAAAACTGGCGATTCGAATTTCGAACGAGTTTCAAATCGAAATCTCCTAATTACCTAATTAAAGACCATGTTCAAAAACCGACTTTACCCGAGTGTATCATTTTATCCTTGTTGTTCACTGTTGAACAAGAACAAAATGAAATCTACTGCATGGATGCTCCCGGATGAAACTTTTGAATGCAGCCAAGTTGAATCGAAAGCGCGATGAGAAAAAAAAGAATAATATTTTTCGCGGGACGACGGAGACGAGAGGCAAACATCGAGGCTCGTGGATGTTTGTCGCCGCGCGTTGAAAAGCGTGCTGGCTATGTGAGATACGATCGGAGAAGGCGTGGGCGCGGCCACGCGCCGCGGATCAATACTCGTGCGGTTCGGCGGCGCGGGTTACACCCCGTGACGAACGGGGGTGTAATCGCCAGCGGTGCTCAACGCTCGGCCTCCACGCAAACCTCGACGAAGGTTCCATTTAGCGCTTACAGCGCTCGCGAGCATTATTTGTCCTTGTTCGACATTCGATAAACAACAAGGATGAAATTATTCCATGAGCGTTGCGAGCGTCAAGTGGAACGCACCCAAGAAATAGGCTCTCCATCCGTTTCACTCATGTCGGACGGATGCGCCGCTGATTCGAACTTCTCGGCTAATTACGCGTCCTGACTTAATTCAGGCGAGCCTGATTCATCGCGACGAGAAACGGCCTTCGCGAAACGAAGCGAAGAAGCAACGCGGCGTGAGAGAACGACGGAGCACCCCTGCGATAGGCGGACTACTCGTCGATCGTGAAAAACGCGCGGGATTCGAATGGTGAACGTGAAATTGATCCGCGGTTCTTCACGACGACGCGAAAACGCGAGCGGAAGATAAAATTGCACATCGGCCGGTCAAGCTCTCGAGTTCTCCCCCGATCGTATCTGTCGTGTTTACGAGGAAAACGATCGTTACGACGAAATCGCGTCGAGGACCGTTCGAGTCTCGCGCTCCGGGTCACGCCACGTTCGAACGTTCCTGGCCAATCGGCGACGGCACAGTGACGTTACGCTGCGCGCGCAGGACGTTCTCATTCAACCCTCGGATCTGATGAGTCGGATCTCGCTGCGCTCCGCAATTTATCCGCTTCTCGTCCTGCGAATGCTTCCCGCGAGCTCGAGACGCTCGAGTGTACTCGGTAAGGTGGCCCGATCGGCACGAGATTCATTTTCTCGGATACGCATTTAACAATTGTCTTTACGCGGTGCGTCGATATTCTTATTAATTGTCTCGCAATCGAATTGTTTCTCGGGATCGTTTAAGTATACTCCCATTTGGCATGGCGTTGTAAGTTGTAAGCTCCGAGGGAAGTATTTTTAAATTCTACGATTATCCATGCCTTCTTTTTAATAACAGTGTTAAAAAGAAAGTTACACTTTCGCGTCGATTTTGCAACGCGTTCGATCTAAAAATAAATCGTTACGCAGTGACGCTCGATTAATAGCTATTTTTTTTACGTTTCTTCATCTCCTTCCTTCACTTACTTTCACAAGTGCAAAACAAATGATGAAATGGCTTCTTATATTTACATTCTCGAGAAACAGCACAAATGTCTCTGCAGTGTGGTCACAAGCGTGAACTGGATTTTTCGTGATTTTAGCGATATTTAGATTTTCATATTTGTTACGAGTGTTATAATTGTGAAATTATGTTATTTTCCTCCAGGTTGTCTACGCTAAAACACTTAAAGAAGCTGCATTCGCGCTAGCAAGCTTAAGCTGCAAGACCGTGTTGATGTGGTTTGAACGCGTGATATTTCTTGGATCGTTGGAAAAAAAGCGATAGGTACCATAAAAATAGACAAGAGCGAAGCAATTAGGGTGTTGACAATTAATTTCTAATTGATATTAACCGACAACTTCGGGATGACATCTAAAGTGCTAATGAAACTGCCAACAGTGCCCTTCCCTCAAGTGAGTCATCTTATACTCTCATTAAATGTTATAGCACAATGTGTCAAATATTGCTCTTTAATTTAATCAAAATATATCCATGTCTTTAGAGTCATGTGTTTTAATTATCGGTTGACACTGTGGAACATAAATTCTTCTACATATTGTAAAATTTATCGATGAGATTATATTTTTGTTTGACCATTTATTTGAATAGAAGAGAAAAAGGTTCCAAATTTTAATTGTAAGCCTTGTACAATCGTTCTTATAGGGGAAGAAAGCACCACCTGACCTGGTTTCTTTGACCGAGAGAAACGATGGATTCGCACATGTTAGGCATCAAGGCCTGAATGTAGATAGAGTAATGCAATTGGAGCAGAACATGAAATTTTTACAGGAACAACATCAGGCAACTTTGGTTGCCTTACATCAAGAAATAGAATGCTTACGTCAAAGAAACAGAGGTAACAGAAATATTGACTTTCCTTGAGTATCTTGGTTCTAATCTGTTTTATAAACTTCTGCAGATCTGCAATTTCAATTAGTATTTTCCAAAAGAACACCCTATGGTGCGGCTAGTAGTCCTTCTTCACCCGAAGATAATGGAAATGGGTTTGCGAAATCAAAGGTACTTACGACATAATATTATTATGAACATTTATAATATTTATATGTCTTTGATATCACTTTTCACTCAAAAATTGTATTGAGCATCAATATAAAAATTTCAATTTTTTGAATTTAGGGTAGCCCAACATGTGTCAACGTAACACCTCTGCAAGTGGAACTTTTGGAGAAAGACTTACAAGACATTAAAGTGTCATTGCAAGAGGCAAAAACACATAACCAGTACTTGTCGAATATTATAGAGCAGCAAAAAAAGTTAGTTTTATACAAAAATTATATTATATGGACGCCGTGATAATGAGCTAATGTTTCTTTCCTTTATTCCGTAGAAAATTGGACGTAACAGAAGACCAGAAGAATAAAATCGAAGTAGCGGACGTTGGAATTCAAGTCGGAGATCCCGTGCAAGCGAGCTTAGTTGTACTTTTGGAGGAATCATACGCGATGGTGAAACGGTTACACAAGGAAAATATGGATCAAAAGAAGGAAATAGCTTCGCTACGAGCAGCTTCTTCAGCAAACAACGCTAGTACAAGCAGAGGTGGGCGCTCCCGTGACGGTAATAATAGTCATTACAACCGTGGTTCGCCCACGAATACGACACAGGAACAGAACTCTCGTAAATTTCCACCGTTACCAATACCGAGCTATTGGCATCGTAGATCACCGAGGTACAGCTTACAGAATTTTATTCTATAACTTTTTCAAATCTATTATAAAAGTCTCAAGATCTTTGAAAAGTCTGAGGAATTATTATAAGACATCGAAGGATAAGATATAGGAAAACTATATGTGAATTATTATAGATACAGCACGAATCGGCACGAGAAGCAAGATCATCATGCAGATACAGACTCGACCGTTTTACCGCAACTCCAGAATGGTAGCGTGAAATCAGCGGAGGCTGCCAGTTTCGAATCACCGTCTTATCGATCGCGCGAATATCGCAATTACGGCCGCGACGGCAGTAATCGCAAGTACAGAGGTCAAGCATCGCGAAGAGACAGCAATCATTATTATCATTCTCGCGATTTCAAAGATAGAAATTCCAAGGATCATCCGAGAGACATGAACGACACTGGGGAGGGATCGAAAGACGCGGATCATTCTCGGAGACAGTAGATCGTAAAATATATGTTACCGATACATAAAAATTGATGAACTTTAGTACTTTGAAGCGCATTAAGAATTTCGATACTATATACCAGTTATAAGACTTATTGATAACCAGTGATCAATGTTTTCTTCACTGGTGCTGCTCGATTACAACAGTCTCGTGCATATATAGCATGTAACAAGATAGCGACGACGAATGAGTATAAACTGTACGATTTTCGATAGAATACTGTCTGTATATGCTAATTTTACTCGTTATAGGCTGCCATAAAAAAATATAAAAACTCGCGCTTTGTAGATTGACCGATAATCAGCAGAGTGTTTAGCGAAAGACTTTTTGCTCTAGATGAGATTTTTCTTCCTACAGAAAAAAAAAACGAAAAAAGGTACGACCAAAAGCTCACTGTAAGGCTAACTTTTTGGCTAAAGCTCATACTTTACAGACTTGAGCTTAATATGCGTGCAATAATCTGATATGCTATCGATGCATCCCAAACAACACAAAGTCGAAAATTGTGACATAAGACGTCTTTAAGTCGTCTTTTATATGCAAAAAATGTCTTATGACCTGATTTTAGACACTTTTTGTTGTCTGTGATGTGTGTACTGTATTAAACTTTTAACTTTTTTCAGTACTGAAGCGTTAAAGAATCGAATCTAGTCATTTTCACGTATTCTATTGAAATGACAAATCGTTGAACGATTTAATATTATATACATATAGATATATAATACATTTACAAATATATACATATACATATACATATGCATGTGTATATATATATATACTTTTTTAAAATTATTTTTATGTATCTATATTTAATATATATAATTAGATATTTTGTTATGTATAATGTATCCTACTTTATTAAAGTAAAGACGAATTCTTTGATTTTATTCGATCTTACGATTACAACTTTATCATTATCTTATAAAAATATGCGTGGATCTATTGCATTTAGTAAATTTTATTCTTTTTTGTAGTTTCTTTACTAACTTTTTCGACTATTTGCAGCTGCAAATTAAAGATTAAGGACTTGTCTACATTATGTCAAGAATTTTCATAATTTCTACTTGTAATCGATTCCTGATTTTTAAAAATAGCAGAAAATGTATGTAGTATTATTAAATTTATTAATTTTAGAAAAATTTGCAAATACTCTGCAAAATAATATGGAAAAAATTTGTCACATTAATCGGATTATGATACAGGAATATACTTTATAGTTATGTAAAATCTTGTACGCTTATGAATGGATGAATTATCAAAATAATATAATATGAACAACTATGTGAAATTTATTTTTTAAAAACCAGTCTTCCATAATTAGATTCTATATGTTTCATATATCCAATAAATTTTTCAAGTTTATTGTCATTCTTTTCATTCATCGTAATCATTATTTCCAAATATTTTACTTAATTCTGCGCTGAAATTTCGATATTTTAAATATATTATAGTCGAGAATTATTTTATTTATAGATAATACGTTAATTTATCTTTTTATCTTGTACATGTTACGCGATAGAAAATAGAAAGATGTGTTTTCCTCTTTTCAGAAAAAGTTTATTATAAAATATACCTTAGTTAAGTACATATTCAACACTACATACGTAAACAATCTCTGTAACAACTACTGACGCGGCCGAGAATTATTAATATAAAGAGACTTATGAACAACTCTACATAAGAGTACCCTGCAAATGGAGAAAGGCTCATCAGGGCGGCCCGCACATGAGTTTTAGTAAAAATTACGTTCTAATTAAAATTACAAAAAGCGATGTTACCCGCGTATAAAGGAACAACGCTGGACGTCGCACTTGAGCGCTGCAGTATTTGTATTTCTACAGCGTACAGGAATTTCAAGACGGAGCACATTCAATGCCATAATGCCGAAGATGGTAAGAGAGTTACGTTTGCCCATTATAGTATTTAATATGCCACCATCGCATTCCCGTAAGTCTTAACATTTACATCACAACCACGAACATAAAACTACACGAGTGAAACAAAAAGGCTACGCGATTGAACTAAAACGCATATTGATCAATTATCAGTCCATTAACAAATTACAGATAGTTTCGTCGATAAAAAGAGTAAATGTAATGACTGTATATAGGACTCAATCTTGACTGTCTATAATTCTACATGATTACAGGGCCTGTATACGCGAATAGTTTTATTAAAAGAATAAGAATTAATTTTTCGTAAAATTTAAAAACCAATATGCAGGAGAAGCACATAAAATATGGGTTAGAGACATTTGAAAGCATTTTATATAAATATATATATATATATAATTATATATATATTTACATATAAAATAAGAGAAGGAAAAATTTTCCAAAATAAAATGTTTATGCACCCTGTATAGTCGACGTTTGCTACAATCTCCAACTATGTACTTCATTCAACGGTTCGTAATTTCGATCAAAATGGCCCCGAAATGTCAGTCTTTCCGTTTGAATTTTGTTAATTTCATTACAAGTAATTGAGCATGTGACTGCTGTCCAACGTGACTTATTGAAACTTGCTACTTATGTGCTATTATTTCGCTAAAATATGATTTACATACGGCAATCCAGAAAACGTTTCGTTCAATTATGATGCATAAATGTCGCGTGTACAATTATTAGGATATATTATACAATTTTGATAAATTACAGCATAAATATTTTGATAACACGCACTATATATAGAAGAAGCAAAATATAAAACTTGTATAACAAGAGATCATATTTCTGCTATTAATCTAATAATTCTGTGCAAGTTAAATTGAACAAAACGCTTTGTAATATTCGATGATTAATATTTGTCATTTTCGTAAAAACGTATAGTACCACATGTCTCTTCTATGATAGCCCGTACATATGTATATAATTATTGTTAAATGCTAGAAACTCGTTAAACTCGTCATTAACAAGAAATAAATTTTAAAACTGACCTAGGGTATTTGATTATCAAATTGTGAATGGCTAGTATTAATTACATATCTCCTCCTCCCCCCTCTCTCTCTCTCTCTCTCTCTCTCTCTCTCTCTCTCTCTCTCTCTTTCATTCTTTCTGTCATTCATATATTTCACCTCACTGTGATTTGTCTACTTATATTTGAACATTCACACGCATCCGCTTAATTAATGTAAAAGAAAGAAGAGTAACAAATTGCATAGTTAACAAATAAATAGGAACCAGCCTATGTTACACTTAAGGTACTAATGGACAAAAGTGCAAATAACGTGATACCCGAAACGCAGTCCTGAGGAAACATTGACTGAGAGGATATTTTTCACTTTTGTTCGTTTTAATTAACAATGAATTGCAAGATAGTGCCTCTATTTAGTTATAAAGGTTAACAATCGCTATACCATCATTCTCCTCTTCTTACCGTAAGCTATTTTCATCACGTTTGCAGTTTCCATAACGAGGGTATCCAGTATAGCTACCGTAAGTCCGTTCTTCACCGCCAGTTCGTCGTGATGAAACTTTGTCCATTCGTCCTCCTCAGCCTGAGCCTCTCTCGCCAGCAACTCGTCGACCCTGTCTCTGCGTTTCCTGCTCCATCGCATCACCATGTTTTCCCGCTGCAATTTTGTCTTGAAACCGAACAGTGTGGCGACTTCCTTGTTAACGTACTCGATAAGTTCCTCAACGTTCTTTGGGATCTTCATCGTAGGCTTCGTTTTCACGTTCGGCTTTGTCCAACTTGGGCCGGGCTTCTCATATTCCGCTCGATAGATTTCCACAATGGTCTCTTTACAAAGATCGAAAAGGAAAGTGTTGTAGATCCGTCTATCCCTTTTCTCACTCTTATCTTCGGTCAACTCGTAGATCTCAGGAGGCGCTTCCAAACTTGCGATATCTTCGCCGGCCAATTTAGCATTATATATCAGAGCTGTGGCTTTCTCAGTGAACGATGTTAGCTCCTCGACGTTTGACGGGATTACGGCAGTGACTAGCGAAGGCGAACCGAGCGAAGCCGATAACCGACCAGGTGGAGTGTAAGGAGGAGGTGGCTTGTTCGGTATCTCTCGAACGTAATAAGACACTTCCTCCGCTTCCAATTTCTTGATCTTAAAAATAGTTACATACACATTCAGGTCGAGTGTTTACATTTGCAACAATTGGATCATATGGAATACGTACCTCCAACTCGATCTGCAATTGTTCGATTCGAAGGAGCTTAGCTTCCAGTTCGGCGAGCTCCTGACCAGGTTGTTCCAATGAAGCTGTATGGAGTAAGCAAGAAATATACATATCAATAAATAGATAAGCAAGCAAAGAGACAAGTTTCTCGGGAAAAGCAACACGAGCTTTCACATTACATCAGGGGTTCACAATTCATATACTTAAATTGAAAGTGCTCAAAGGAAAGGAACGGACAAAAGGAAAATATATAGGAATAAATGTTTCTAATGCATATATATGTAAATATATATATATTTTAACATACATATATATATATACATAATAGTACAAAGCTGTGACAAGGTTGGACATTCCATATAACATCTGTACACGATAGTAAATCTTTTCTGACAGATTCGGAGGGAAGAGAAGAATAGATAGTAATCGATGAATAATTGTGTGTGATGCATAATATTTACAGGCTTTCTTGTGCGCATACGGATCAATAATGAAAGGATCAAGCATTTCATGCGACACTGATTTGTACAGAGATAACAAGTCAATGTTCATCATTCGTAGTTTCGTGTATTACCTTTAGACAAATATAATCTCGACTTTGTTATTTGTCTGAAAATAAACAACATATGGCTATACCAGGCAACGCTTTTGCACAGGAGAGCACACAGCCATTATAAAAAACAAAAGGTGTTTCTGTAGTATATAGTATGTATAGATCGAGATGTGTAAATATGTATCGAGTGTGTCTCTGAGATGGTCAGCCCACATAAAAATTGCATCGCATGATTTCGATCGAGAATGATAACAGTAATTTGTAAAAAGAGAAAAAAAGATTCACTATCTCTCAACATATACAGGTTGGCTTGCTTTGAAATATGTTATTCGATTCTTGCAATTCAATCGAATAACATCTTTCACAAAAAATTATTGCTTTGCAACGTTCACGATTAGATTATCCTGTTAGACCAGACATCCATTCGATAGCGGTTACAATATTTATATAATTTTTATAATAACACACATAACGTTTCAAGTTTGAAAAATATATACAATCGGACGGATGAGTATTATAGCATAGGATGTGTGAATCGATACTCTAATACTCTGATTCATACATTAGATGTAGAGTTCGAATTGATATATGGTAGAATTTATAGTTGATTCTAATGACTCTGTATATTGTCTACTATATTTCTATCTTTATATATATATATATTTATATATATAATCACAATATTCTAATATTACTTCAATTACTGAAAGATTAGTGAGAATACCTTTTAATTCGTAGATCATAGCTTCAATATCCTTTTCGGACGTGGTAACGATGGATGCAGAATGGAAATTAGTCTCCATATCCATGCTCTGGTTCGTCGCTTTAGTGCCGCTCAGTAGATCATCATCCAGAATATCAATATCCAACCGCGAGTCATTGAAATCTCTCGGCGAGTCCATCTCGATCTCGGATACTCCCCTTGGAGTATCGCCGGCTTCGCTGGATTCGGACGAGCCATTCTGTTCCTGGAGTTGCGAGACTCTCTCGCGTAGCTCATATATTATCTGAGAAGACTTGTCGTCTTCGTCCAATCTCAAAGGAATCATTTTTCTTTTCTCAGATAAACCGTCCGGGTCACTAGCTTCTACCGATTGCCCGTCCTGCAATTTTGCTCTTTCCAAGAATCGACCCTTCGTTGCGTCCACCTTGGAAGATTCTTCTTCGAGCTTGCTCGTTGTTTTATTCATCTTGGGAAATGAACTATCATCCCTCGCAGAAATCTCTGCGCCCAGGACCTCGCTGATCTCTTCCGTGGCACTTGGTACGCTCTGGGCATTCTTCTCGTTGTTTTGCGAATTGCTTACAGAATCGAACGATGATTTCTGCGAGATTTCGTCTAGTATTCTCAATACGTTCTCTGATTTATGGATGGTTTGATATCTCTCCGGCAAATTAGCAGATTTCCTTGTGATGCCTACCTTTGAAAGGTCATCTTTGTCTAGAATTTCAGACACCTCGAGGCTCTCCTCGGAGATATCTTCGTATTCTGGATCTTTCAATATGTCGAATGTTTTGTTGATACTTTCGATTACTGGTGCGTCTGATATCGCGGCCTCGTTATTCTTCTCGGCTATATCATCCGTAGTCTCTTCTTTAGTTTGTCCAGTCCGCGTCGTAGACACAGCATCGTCTATTACCGACTTAGGAAAATCACATGATGTAACAGTTTTTTCCACAACATCCAATCTACTCACAGCAACTTCCACTAAATTGTCCAGCTGCTCGCCATCCGAGCTATCTTGTTCCGAGATTGATTCTAAACATTCTTTTATCTCTACAGGGACGTCTTTGTTTTCTTCCACAGCACGTTCATTCTTGTCCTCGCACGTGATGGATTCCTCTTCTTCTGCCAATTCGACTTTGGCATCAATTTCAAGTTCAGATAATGCGTTATCCTCGGCGCTACTTGAATCCAACTCCGTGATTATAATTTCTTGTACTTCTGATATCGCTTCGCGTAGACTTTCTTCGTTATCGATTTCCACACACAAGTTTACATTTACGGCAGATTTATCATCAGTCTCGTCAGTTTTCCGTAACGAAATATCTATTATTTCCTCACGATTACTAACTTTGTTATTTTTACAGATATTCTCTAAGATTACATTACTTTCGCTTACATCTCCTACATTTGTTTCTCTTTGCGTTTTATTATTCAACAACGAAATATCTGAAACTGCCTCAGTTTGATTATCTACATTCATATCCATATCATATAAGAATCCTTTAAAACGATTATCCACATTCCTGTCATTTTCCACTATATCCTTAACTCTGTCTAATAATTCAGCCATGGAATCAGAGATTACATTATCAAACTCTTCGTCTTTAGGAATGCTTTTTTCTTTATCGTTTTCTCTAGCGATTATGTCCAGTATATCGTCAAGTTCATCGTTACTTCTTCCAACATAAGATTGTGCTAATGCGTCGTTAAACGTAACGTCCTGTACTGCGACATTTGTAGATTCCCCCTTTGGAAGAAAACCTGATACGTCGCTTATTAAAATGCTTTCTGCTTCTTGATTTGTTATATCATCGACACGTGATACAGTCTTTTCCGAGAAATTATTCAAAGTATCGTTCAAGCCTGATTTTGAATTCTCGAATTCTTCATGTACTCCAGTGCTAATATTGTCTTGCGGCACTTCGAACGAATCGGACGTCGTCCAGTCGTTTTTGTCCTTAGAAATATTCTCCGCACTGACCGTACGCGATCGATTTTGATCAACGTTAGATGCAAGTGCTATTGAATTTGTGATACTGTCGAGCACTTCTGTTTGAATATTTTCATCAACGTTCTCTAATATCCTCACATCATCCGCGACATCAATTTTAATGTCTGCCTCCGAAATATTCTTTGATGATTTCAAATCCTTACTGGTAAGAACGTGCGAGCTCTGACTTGAAATTAAACTAGGCGCACTCCATGAACCTTGCGATATATTTTCCTTTGAACGGTGACCAGCGATGATGGGAGATTGCACTGATGCAATGTTAAAATGTTCAGAAAGTTTCAGAGAATGTATTTCTTCTGCTTGAGATTTTACAAAGCCTTTTTCAATTATTGCTTCATTCAACTCACTTTGTTCATTTATGTTTTTCTTCGAATCATCGATAATTTGAGTTGCTGTTTTCTTCGCAAAGTCAAGACTTTTTCTACTTTCTGATACTTTGGAAAGGATTTCAGAAATCGATTTTATATCGAGTTCGGTTGCCAAATCATTTAGCAATTCTTCGTTTCTGCTTTCTTCTAATATTGAATCGTCGTCACTTGCAATTTTAATGTGTTGTGACAGTACAGATTTCTCTATTTCATTCATAATCTCTCGGCTTTTGGCTTCGTAATCAATTTCATGAGGCGAATTGGAGATGGTAGGTGTTTCTTCCGGGATCATTGCCGATATTTCATTATTTATCGATATGGAACGAGATTCCGTATCGATTTTCTGCTCAGGTGACACTGCTTGCTGTTCCTCATTTTCAATATCAATTACTTCACTAAAAACTGATTTAGATATTATCTCTGAAATATCTTGCGACGTATTCTTTTCGTCGTTATTTGTTTTAGACTTCTCATTCGATTCGTTACTTAAGCGCGACATTATTTCTGAAAGCGCCTTTATATCCTTTTCGATAGAACTTATATCTTCGCTTAAATTTTTATTATTTAACTGCAGAAAATCTAACTTTCTCGAATAAGTAAGTATACTGGAATCAGTAATACGCGCAACATTTTCTGTAGAACGCTCGGACATGTTTGGAATAGATTTAGAATATTCAATATTTGTTATTTCCGGAATCTCAGAATCTCGAAAGTCGGATGGTATTGTGGAAGTCTTTGGTTGAGATTGATTGATATCAGTAATTAATCTATCGTCTGCCGATTCAGTGTTAATAGTACTGTGATCTTCAAATCTTGCATCCGACATTGTTTGCACCGTACTGGCATTCGTTTCAACATCTTCTGCATCGTGCAATACACTAGTTTGTTTCATGTCAACAGTAGTGAATTCTCCGACTTGCCTTTTAGAAAGAGCATACTTTCCAGAACGTGCATCATTCGAAGTCGATGACGCTGAAGGTACTGTTTGAATTTTTTCGTATACTTCTGTCGACGTATAATCATCCAAAATAGTTTGAACACTATCGTGAGAATCTATAGTATCTTTTAATTCTAAAGCGTTTGCGCCCTTAATATCCGCAAATTTTGTAGGTTTCTGAAAACTATCTCTTTCGCACTCATCATCGTATGTTATCGTTACAACTTTCGATAAGTCCTGCCGATTTCTCGTTAATAGGAGATCAGATTCCGATCTGGATCTTAATAAATCACTACTTTTGTAGATGTCCTGTATTCTCTTAAGCGGTATTTCAGGTACTTTAAAGTCAGCTAATGACTTTGGCTCTATAGCTAACTTGTCAGTTTCTTTGATATCTTTCTTCGATTCCAACTTTTTGCGCATCTCATAGATGGTCGTGTCATATTTCTGTCATAGCATAAACAGAAATTTCAAGTTATAATAATAATAATAATCAAATAATTATCTATGTATATAGTACACTTACTTTGATTTGATTTAACAGGTTTGCTTCCAAAGCACGTAGCTGTTTCTTCGCTTGCTTCTTTGCTTCTCTTTTTAGACGCGTCATTTCGAGACGTCGTTCCGCTAATTTCTCAGTAAGAACTTCTATCCTTCCTTCGACATCGCTCGTATCAGACGACAGGGTGGTATCTATGAAAGAGCACAGACGTCTCCTCTCTGATCGTGATCAGAGTTTGAAATTATACAATAAACTACATTTAATTAATATTTAATAAAATAACGATTTGTCGTATTATTATAATATCCGCAAAGAATCTTGAAACTCGTTCGTTTTCGAATTCATTACAATTTAATGTAAAATTTATTGAAGAGAACTATCACACGTTATAATGCAAGTTAATTGGTGTCTTTTATATAAGTGTATTTATATTACCCCCTCCTTGCTGACCCAAATTAGATGCTGTTGCAACGAGATTAAATGCTGTTTGCTCCATACGAGTAACACGGTCCTCTTCTGCTCGTAATTTTGCATGCCACGCCATCCACTCCTTGACGCAGTTCTTACGTGATGCAAGTGCGGTTTCGCGTGCGTTCAAAATTCTAAAGAGAACAGAAGAAAATGTACAGCTTCAAGAATATGCATGTGCATGCCTGTTATGCGGATTGCCTTTGCAGAGAATCTATTTTTACAATGCTTTACTCGATGTGGCATGGAGATGTGCACAGTTTATTATTAGACTTTCCAGCGCACGACTTTAGTGATTCAACATTTTATTAGCGGAATACACGTGTAATCGCGTCAAATAACAGTTTTCGAACAATATTAAAGTAGAAAAGAAAAATGTGATAAATGAATATATACACCTGCACTTACCGTTCAAATTCTCTGTCTTGCGACCTAACAACTATGGATTTCGAGAGATTTTTCTCACTTTCTTCGGAACTATAATGGGAAACGGCAAAAGTATTAATCTGAGATATTGATGCATTTTGAGTATCTCGCTCGATTCTAGGAAGACTATCATCACTCTCAAGTTTTTTGTTCGAAGTTTGAGTGGATCCGTTTTCTTTATTCTCGTTTGTTACTTCACTCGATAATTTCGAACTTTTATCCTTGACAGCTTTCGAATGCGAATGTTTCTTAACGAATGCCTGAAGCGAAATTTGACTTTCATTAACATCCAATTCACCCAAAATTGAACTTTCTTTGTTGTTCACTAACTGAAGCAATTCATTTTTCACTTTCGTTCCTTTATCATGATGCTTGACAAATTCCTCCAATACATTTTCCGTTGATATACTGGAAGATGATTTCGTTTTCTGATATTTAGAATTTTTACGTTTGGAGCTTGTTTTTAGCTCGGTATTATATTGCGACTTTTTAGATATGTCTCTATCACTCATGATAGATTTGTCAATCTTCTTAGAGTTCTTACTCGTACTTGTCTGTGATTGTATCTCGGAGATTTGTGATTGCGTCGTTTTTGAAACTGTGTCTTGGGCTATTGTGTTTATCTCTTCTTCTATAGATTCACTATTGGTGGTTACAGCATTAGAAGTTAATTCTTTCTCCTTTGCGACTGTCATGGTTTGTATGGAAGGCTCTGTTAATTGCGATAATTTTGAATGTTTAGACACTACTTCCGCTAACGACGATCTTTTAGACAACTCTTCTACTAACGTATCAGATTCGGATTTTACGTTTTCAGGTACTGATGCATCTACTTCTGGTCTTGATGACTGCGATAATCTGATCTGATCTTGATTTTCCAAGAGCCGAATATTTATCATCATAGGATGGCCTTGCTTCATTTTCGACTCTATGTCCAACCTCTGATTTTGCTTCTGCAGCAAAACATCTGCTCTGGGCATTTTTTCTTCGTATTTTCGAGACCTCAACTCGTATTTCGATAGATCGCTTTTCTTTTGTAACTGTATGGGACTTTTTTCTTGCTCCTTACTCTCAGCCAAGTCATCGGGTTTTGCCGCGGATGTATTGCTTTCTTCGCCTAAATTTATAAATACGTTGGATTTCAACCAATCAAATTTAGATGCGTCGCTCTCAGATGCATGAAGGCGTGTGTCCATCTGACCATGCTGAGATTTATCTGAATCGATCAAGGAGCTCATAGAGCTATTACTGCGTATATCGTAACCCTTCATAGGACCTGATAATCTTCTCGGTGATTGACTGTCTGCTGTCCTCTTTAATTTCGTTAAGATATTTTTTGTTGAAGACATTTGCAAATTGAACATGTCCCTCTGTTTTTGCAACATACGTTTTCGTTCTTGGCTTGTAATTTCGTATAATAATTTTAATCTGTCAATAAACAGAAAAATTTAATAAATAAAAAATATAATGTACAGTCACATAAATGTCACTTACCTTTGAATTTCATCTTTTTCTTGTTGTAGTTTTAGAAGCAAAGCTCTTTGTTTTTTTCTCAAGGAACGGGCGTCTTGGTCTTGTCCAGTACCTTTCATTACACGTTTTTGCACTTCCAATTGCACCAATTTCTTAGTTTTGTCATTTAACGTTTTTTCACGAAATTTGAATAACTCTTCGATTTGATAGCTTCGTTGATTCTCGTCTCTTAAGAGTCGTGCTATCTGTAAAAGGAAGTGCGTATAAAAAAATATCCAATTAATATTCACAATTACAAACATGCTTATGCATATTGTATAATGAAATTACCTCTGAACCTATATACTGATTAAACGAACACGTTACACCTCGAGTTGAGATACTAATTTCAGTTCCGGTTTCCGTTTTTATAGACGAAGTAGTTTCGTGCAAACTAATCTCCGACAAGGTCCTTATTCTGCTGGGTACTGATACCTGTTCTACTTGATCCAAATCTTCGAATTGTTCAGCCGAATCTAAGGATAGTTGGGGAACTTTGTTTTCTTTCAAAAATGATTCGTACGCGTTTTCTCTGTCACGGATCTCTGTCAATCTATTTTGCGCGTTTCGTTCGTCCGCGGATATATCCGTTTGAGTCGCTATATCGTTCACCGTTTGCGTTTGTACCTCCGCCACTTTGACCCCCACTGTTTTATTAAACTTTCCATAATTAAATCCATAACCCGATTCATCAACGTTGCCTTGATTTGGAATATAATGCTCCCTATTGAAATGCGTTTCATCGCTTGATTTTCGAGATTCGACGATGTCTTTTTTTACATAATCAACTGGATTCCACGTTGCTGTAAGAAAAATATTCCGAATGTGTTTAATATAACATATTTATATATTATTCTATTAACAATGAATTTCTTACTTTTTTCAACAGCATCGTTATTAATTACTGCAGCTGCACAATCTTCTACAATTTGTACGACTTTTTCTTCATCTTTTTCATCAGCTTTCTGTGAATTCTTTTGTTCTTGCATCTCACACTTAGTATTGTACAAACACTTTTCAACATCCATTACTTGTCGGAGGGACTCATTGTAAGAGTCGTAAAGATGTAGTTCTGCCTGAAACTGCATATGTAAAGCTGTTGGGTGTAGCTGAAATTCCAATGCACTTTTATTTTACTAAAACTATACTATTGTGAATGAACAAACGTGACAATGTATTTATACTCACCAATGGTACTTCGTCTTGTTTTTTCTCAGATTTTATTACTGGCTTGTATTTTGGGCATCTTGCATCTACTTCCGAATCACTGCTCTGCGTCAAATATCTCCTTCGTTTAGATCTGAGTATAAGATTCATTTTTTCTGGCGTCATTAAATTATGAAATTCTGGTTGGGAATAACCATCTCTAAGAGAAATTCTTCTAGAATCAAACAATGCCTCTGGCAGTGTAGTGTCATCCACATCATTTGAATCATCGTTAGTGGTCGTTTCTTTAGTTGTAATAATGCTTTGGGAACACGATTCCTCGTCTTTTTTAACGCTTGTGCTTGCAGATTGTGTCGCGGAATGTTCTGTATATTTAAAATTCTCTGAAGTTTTAGTAGATCTAGCAGAATTAGTGTTCTGTTTACTTTCCACGGCTTCAATATCTTTACTTTTTGATGACTGTGTAGAACTTATAGGATATGCACTTATTCGACTCCTGGAACTGTTTGTTTCAGACATAAATTCAACATCTTCTGATTGCTCTGAATTGACGCTGTGTAATTTATCTTCGCCTTTATTAGTTAACATTTTATTTTTATCAGACATTCTTTTCGTTTGCTCCTTATAGATAGTATTTAATTTGTCTTGTTTCAATAGTCTATTATCTGAATCAGATTTATGTTTCAGGTCTTCTATTTCAGACTTTTGCTTTAAAAAATAGTGACTTATGTCTTTAGATTTATTTTCAGTGCTAGATAAAACGCCCACATTATCTCTCAATGTAACTTTATCTAACGCCTTCCAAGGTGGAATAACTGGTGATTCATTGCTAGATATTCGAATCTTAGATTCTGGAAGATTGTCTTTTGTTAATTCTACGGACTGTGCATTAAAGGACCTCTGTCTTTTGTCATTATCTTTTTTAACAATAGACGATACGAAATTTTTATCTTTTGATTTTACCGACAAAACGTCATTAACTTTTGTAACATGGAATGGTCTATCATTTTTTGATAATTTTAAATTGCTTATATCATTGGCATCTTTTCTGGAGATGTGTCTTGGACTTCGACTACGTTTTACTTGGTCTTGCATGGATTCATCCCTCTTTGCACACGAAGAGTCATCCTTTTTCATCCTCTTGGATCTGTTTTCTTTCTCTCTAGAATTGTCTCTAACATGGTCCTTCTTCTTACTTAAATTAGACGCGATGGAGACATTCGGTGCTTTTAATGGTTCTATGCTTTCGCAATTAATAAATGACGATCCATCTGAAGAGAAGTCTAATTTTCTCTGTACTCTTTCACCAGTTCTTAGGCCTTTGTCAGATCTATCGTGTGCAAATTCCTTTGTAGCTATTTCAGACTTTGCGGAAGGCAGCTCCTTTGAAACTGAATTCTCTCTGCTGGAGAAATCCAGCGCTTTTGGAGAAATTTTTAGATCGGGTACTTTCAGCGGTTTAATGAAGTCCATTTTTTGTACAATTTGATTTTGTGCAGTCAAATTTTGTGTACTAGTTGCTTTCAGTATCGAAGAAGTCAAACTGTTTTTTGCTTGAGAACTTGACTCACGTACTTTGATATCACCGCCGATATCAAAATGATCTTCTAAAGCGAGTTTTTGTTTTACTGCGCTAATAAATGTAAAAGGATATGGCTGTACAGGATAATAAGATATCAAATTTTTTAAGCTCTTTATGCCAATTGCGGGCACTTGCAAATCAGCTGATTGCTTTTCGAAAGTCTTCTGTTGCGCCTCGAGTTCTCGGGTAATCTGTGCTGTCTACAATGAAAAAGCTACATAGAATTTTATGTTTACAAGCAAAAAAATAACAAGTAAAAATCACTTACAACAGCAGAGGTCTCAGCGCGTTTGGCAATAACATCTGGATCCGAGAAGAAAACATATTTTTTTTTATCGATGGATTCTTCTTTCTGGCTATTCTTCATATTCTCATTCTTGAACTACATAGATAAAATCCCATAAAATTACCATATTATCATCCATGTTCCTCATAAATGCACAATAAATATAGTGGAATGCAATAGCACCTGAATACAATACAAAAAATATAATTAGTAGACAAAACATTTTCTTAATAATTTCTTAAAAAATTTATCTTTAATAAAAAAATCTCATCATTTACAATAATACGGTTTAACTGCAAATCTTGCAAGAATTGGGAATTCATGAATTAGCGCAGAATCGACTATTTTAATTCTTTATTATTTTACAATACTCCACTGGTACGTTCTTACTCATTCGTGTACTAATTGCTTACATGAGCTTGGAGAGAATATCTAAATAAAAGATATTTTCTTAATAATATAAATAATATTTTTATGCTTAATCAAATAATTTATCATTTGCGATGATACTAACTATAAGTTTTACAATAGAAATTGAGTATTCTCGAATCAATTATTTTATAATATTTATAATATTGTACTTCAATGTTGTATCTTTATTTATTTATGTTCTAATTGCTTACATAGGCTTGGAACCTGTGAGTAAGAGATATTTTAACAATATGGAACAATAAATTACGTTTAATCAAATAATATCATTGTTTGCGAAGGTGCTGTTCAACCGTAAGTCTTGCAATCAAAGTTGATTATATAGAAATTGATCATTTTACAATGTTTACAAAAAAATATATTGTTACTTTTTTAACAATATCAAATGTATCTTTATATTTTTAATCCAATAACTTTATCACTTGTGACAGCCCTGTCCTTATTGTTAATCACCTTACAATTAAAGTTGAGTTTATGAATCAATTATTTCATTGTGTTTATAAAATAAATATATTCTACCGCCTTGTCTTTACTCAATTATGTTCTAATGGCATACACAAACTTAGAATAGCGAGTAAAAAAACATTTTCTTAATTTAAGACGTAAAATAATATATCTTTATGTTTAATCAAATAATTTTACTATTTAAGAGTAAATCAAAACGAAATTCATCCATATTTACAGAAATGTAGATGAATTTCGGTTTAATTTATTCTTATCGTTTTCCAAATCTTATGTAAATTAGAAAAAGATATAAAGTAAATTAGAGACTGAGAGTATAGATTAACTTCAATCTCTGTTGATAGATCATAAAAATAGAAATTAATCTGTATCAGAATTGAAGATTCACGTAATCAGAGCGGAATCGTCTTACAATTTTTACAATAAACGTACTCGTTTCCGTTACTCATTTACATTCTAGCTCTCACTCTTGGAATACTTAAGCATAGTGATCAAAAGGTAAACCTAATTAAGGCATCCAACAGCAGGTGAACGATTCTCCTTGATCCAGTGTAATCTGCTCAGCGATAAGGGCAAGGTAAACGTGACATCTTCACGAAAAACGGTAATCGCGCACTCACACACAGTCATACAGGCACGCACACACATACACACCGATTAGCGGCGCCGTAGTTTAAAGATCTGTGATTACCACAGATGTACTGGACGAGTCAGGCGGTAGGATCCGATAGGATCTACGGCTGACGATTTCAGGTGATTTCAGATCTTACCAGAAGCGTCCCGCAGAAGCGTCGTGCGGCCTTCCCTTTTCGCCACTCTTCACCGCACGTCAATTCCACGTATGCGTTGATACGCGTACGGAGTACCGCGTGCGTACGAACGCGGAGAGAAGGGGTACCACACGCTCTCGGGCAGTTTGCCACAACGGCCGTTTGTAAACGGCACGGTCACGTGGTACAGACGTCGGGTACGCTCGTCGATCGCTCGCTCGCGATTGAACATGGCACTATGGCAGCGCGCCGCGTATCGGCGTGTACGACACTACGACGTGTACGTGTACGCGCGCACGAACGTAATCGATAGCGGCCATAGCGGCGACGCGAGCGCGTCGCGTAAATCCTGTGCAGTCCTGTGAAGGCCGAGGAAGCGTTTACAATTTCATATCATCAGCCCCGTACTCCACTCTCGTAGAGCTACTGATATCGCTATTTCGTCATAGCAGTTACACATGTTTACGCATGTTTACCATGTGTTTACGCACGTTTCGATGACAATACCGCAAAATCTCTTCCCTGACCTACAGTCGTAGATTTATTTTATCAGAGAGGCGCAACCGGCTTAAGTCAGTACGACAAAGGTACTAGGGAAGGTACTAAACATGGCTGACATGCTATGAAACTGCCTTTAAACTTTCAAACAAGATAAGACAAAGTAATATAAAATTATATTT